TTTGTAATTAATAAGCTTGAACGTCAAGTGAATGATTATAAAATAAAATTTGATGAATTACGTCGTGCTAAAGCTGCTACAACAGTTGTTAAAACTGAAAAAGAATATGTTAATGCAACTGCTCCAGGGTTTGTTATTCACTTAGGAATTACATATATATATATATATATCTAAGATCATTTCCAATAGAACAAGTCGTACTGAGAAAATCAAATGTGATAAATGTGATGAACTTGAAAGTATGGTTGAAGCTGAAAAACAATCGAATAAAGAATTAAAAAAACAAATTGATCAAAAGGATTCCAATAAAAAAACATCATCATCAACAGCAGCAGCAAAAACAACAGTCAATTCTGCTCCATGCCCAAAATGTCCAACTGCTCAAGAATTGTTAGACAATCAAAAAGAAAGAAATTCACAAATAATGGATCAAATTCTTGATCAAGAAAAACAAACTCAAACTGAACGAAATGCTAAAGAAGTTTATTTTCAATATTTCATTTTCAAAAATACCTCTTATTTTTTTCTCGTTCAATTTAGTTACTTGAGCATAATTTATCATTGGTTCAATCACAATTAGTTGAAGTTAAACATAAATGTGAAAAATTACAAAGAGAAAATCAAGAATATCAAGTCTGATTATATTTATAGACAAAACAAATTTTTTTTTTATTTCAAATAAATTTAGAATGAATGTGAAAAAATGAAAAAAATCTATGCAGATAAAATGGCTGAATTATGTCGTCAAGAAGAAGAAGCAAAAAAACAAGTAAAAATTTCTTCTTCTTCATTCACTAGTAGCATCTATTAAATTATTTTTAAAAATACAATTTATTTTTGACTTCGTTGATATTTTTTGCGATACTGTTATTAATAACTGATAAAGAAAGAAATCTTTCTATTGATGTTAAATAAGAATTTCATATATTTAAAATTCAGATTGCTACTTGGGAACAAATGTATACTGAATGGATGTCAACTATGGAAAAACGAGTTAATAATTTACAAACAACAAATAAAGATTTAAATGTAAGTTTTCAATTTATTTTAATAAATAAAAATTCAATAATTTCTTAGTCATGGATAAATGATGATGAAGAAATGAGTCCACATAGACGACCTGGTGGAAATCAACGACGATAAATTTTACAAATAATCATTCTATTACATTTTTCTATTTAATATTACTATGATTATCGACATGTTTCACCCATAACATAAATTTAAATATTTTTTACTTTACTTTTTATCAGAATAAGAAATCGACATTTTTCGATAATTCTTTATATTTTAATAAACTATAAAATATATTTACTAATACAAAAATTGTCATCTATTAATAATTACAATTAGATTTCTATAATTACATATTTGTTGATAATAATAACAGATTTTATTCATAAAATAAAATATGAAATAGTTTCTATTCGATATTTAATTATTCTAATTGATTGATTCAAATATTAATCTTGATAAAATCGAGGTTTCAACATAAATGAATCATAAAAAAAAAGCAAGTAACATATTATTCTTATCTGTTCTTTACATAATTTCAAGTATGACAATGCAAAAAAAAAGCAAAAGTATCTTTATATTTTTTTCTTATTCGATAATGATATTTTTCAAATGATTATTATTTTCATTCTTTACATGTGTTTTTTTTTCTATTCATTAATTCATAGAATTTATGACGAAAATTTAATCTCGTAACCCATTTCGTTTTTTTTTTCTTATTTAAATCATATCTTTTCCATTCATGCACTATCAAGCATAATATCATTGAATGTGTAAAGGTTAGTTGTCAAAAAAATCCACCAAACAAAAGTGACTATAGTTTGAATAAAACATAAATTATATTTGTCTTCATACGATTCTCCCATTCTATAGATAAAAAAAAAATTTTTCTTTATAAAATCGAAAGAAAAGAATGACATAAACGATAAAGAACATTTCTTTAATCGATCTTCTACTCAATAAATAGATGTCATCATCGCATTACCTTTCATATAAACTATACGTGTATTTTTTAATATTATGAAAGAATGACAAAGCATTTTTTTTCCTCACTAGTTATATAAGAAATATAAACTATGTTTTAGATATTTCTGTTTTAACTTATACCACCAATTGAACAAAATGTCCTTACGACTTGGTGAAGAATTTCCTAATTTTACACTCAATACAACAGCTGGAAAATTTCAATTACATGAATGGCTTGGAAACAAGTTTGTTTTATTTTATTTTATTTTCAAATTTTATTTTCTTTTCTATTTTTTCAGATGGGGAATATTATTCTCTCATCCAGCTGATTACACACCAGTTTGTACAACTGAATTATCACGTGCAGCTAAATTAGCACCTGATTTTGCTAAACGTAATACGAAATTAATTGGTTTATCATGTGATTCAATAGATAATCATCATGGATGGATTAAAGTTAGTTTTTTTTCATTAAAATAAATTCATTTTTTAATCTTTCTATTTAGGATTTACAAGCTTATGGTGGACCAAATATTCAATGTACAGGTGATACATGTAAATTAGTTCCACATGGTGAATTTCCATTTCCAATAATTGATGATAGTGAGAGAAAACTAGCTAAACAATTAGGAATGATTGATCCTGCTGAATTTGATAGCAAAGGTTTACCATTAACAGCACGTGCTGTAAGTTTTATTTTTTGTATGTTAAAAAAATTATTTCAATTTGTTTCTTTAGGTATTTTTTATTGGACCTGATAAAAAAGTTAAAGCAAGTTTACTTTATCCAGCAACAACTGGAAGAAATTTTGAGTAAATTTATTTATTTCAATAAGTAAAATTTTACATAAAAAAAATACATGTATTCTTTAGTGAAATTCTTCGTTTACTTGATTCACTTCAACTTTCAGCACGTTTACCAATAGCAACACCAGTTGATTGGAAGGTTAGTTTTTCTTACTTTTGTTTAATTGTCTTCATTCCTATTCAATTCAGGTTGGAGATAAAGTAATGGTTCCACCAAATGTCACAGATGCAGATGTTCAAAAACATTTTCCACAAGGTGTTGAAATTAAAAAAGATCTTCCAAGTGGAAAAGGTTACATTCGTATGGCTCAAGTTTAAGAAAAAAGACAAACAGTTTTCTTCTTATGATTTCTTAAAATAAACTAAAATATTTCATAGTTAAAATAATAAAAAAAAGAAAGAATATTTATTCGTCGATTGTAAACACATATAATGACTGTCACAACCTGCTCCCGCCTTTGTTTAATAAATAAATTACACAGGCGAGGCTAGATGAACAGTTTTTGTTTGTGCTTTAGAATTGAATTCCATTGAAAAAAAGCAATTAGACTGTTCGCACAATCTAGCGGACATTTTCAATCTTTGTTTTATACAAAGATTTGATTACTGCGCGAGGTGTGTGAACAGTGTAATCGCAAATCTTCAAAATTTTGTTATAAATAATTATATAAGAATAATAATAGATATTGTAATAATCTTATCGGAAGGTACTGATCGACAAGCTTCGCTTCATTTAAATTCTTACCGAGCGAGGCAAGACGAACAGTGACTTCAAGATAAGAACAAGAATAAGAATATGAAACTACTTACTGTTTAGTTTGTCAAATTGTGTAATTTAATGTTGAAATACACATCAATTTATATAAGAGAATAAACGGAGACAAAACAGTTATTGGTTTAATTCAAGGTCATTGTTATTCATTGGTCATGAGCAATGAGTGACCCTTTGCCCGGTCACTCTCTCTTTGTTTTTTGTTTTTTTTCTTGACAAGAATATATGAAGAAGAAACATATTCTATGACCGATGACGTCGGACGTCGAAATAAACAATGGGAGAGAGATTTAATTATTAGCTCATCATTTCAAATTATTTTCTCTCAAAACGAATTTTTATCTTGAAAATCTTTTATTGAATATTTCAACGAAATTTATCTCACTGTTTCTTTAAATTATTTTTGGTAATATTAAGAATATGATAAATAAATAGTCGCTATCTATAATATATTCATCATAAGATAATTTCAAAGTTTTCAAAAGGAATGATTATATTCTTTTTGAAAAAGGTTTTTAAATAAAATCAATTTAAATCTTTGAAATTTGTTGAACCGAAATGAAAGAATTTTGAAGTGGCAACTTATTGGCGTCATATTGCTTTTTGACTTTTTGAATTGTTTTCAATGAGCATATGTCTGTTTCATTTCGTGTGTTCTTTATTGTTGCACAGAAGGAAGCTTCGATGTTTTTGCTTTAACAGATGTTTATCGAACAAATGAATAATTACGATAATTGAACACATTATTAGAGAAATATTCTTTTATTTTATCAGATTTATTCATTCATATATGAATTATACAAATATGCAATATTTTTCATTTCAATTCATTTCGATATTATGTTACATGAATGAACATATTTATCTTTGAAAAACATTCGTTTATTCATTCTTAATTCTAATTGACAAATGTAATCATGTTTTGTCATTAGAATGATATAATAAATATATAAATATATATTTTAGTTGTATAAAATGATGTGAGAAATATTTTTGCCGATTTTATTTGTTGAGATGAGATAACTTTGTTGTTTTCTAATATAAATTTGAATTTGATTATATGATGAAAGCTAGATATATATGTTGAATGTGTGACTTATAGATGTCATTAGTTTAAAGAAATGATCGATGATATATAATTTAAACGTAACGTTTTGATTTGAAAGAGATTGTGTTGGTCAGTTGAAATAAAATCGAAATTCAAATATTTTCTTTTGTTTTTCTAACGATTTTGATTTTATTTAAATTTGTAAATTAAAAATGTTAACATTAGTTATTGAATTTGGTCGTCAAAGACGAAAATTTGATTTAAAACATCCAATTGATATTGGTTTACTTGAAAATCAAATAAAATCAACATTTGGGATTGAAGATAAAAATAATTCGGAATATTTAATACAAATTTATGATGAATTTGTTAAAAATTATCTTGATTTAACATCTGAATCATTTCTTTCAACAAATCATAATAATGATATAATAAAAGGTCAAATCATCTCATCTCAAATAAATTCATTTCAATTTCAACCAAAAGTAACAAAACAACAAGTTGTTGGTCTTATTACATTAGAATCAATTCAAGAATCTCTTCAACAATGGTCACAATTACTTCAACGTAACAAATCTCTTTTATTTTATATCTCAATTGTAAGATTAGTTTTAATTTAGATATTCAATTAGAAATATCAAAAGAAATTCAAACTGTTAAAGAAACTATCAATGCTGTGAAATCTCATGTAAGATATTTATTTGAATTCTATTACATAGTCTTATACTCTTAAATAAAATCCTTATTTTCATAAAATCTAAATTTCTTAAAGAATAAGATTTATAGATGAATTTTTAATATAAAATTTGTTAATATTTTAGTATGAATTAATTGATGAATTAAATTCGAATTCAAATTCTCCTATTTATCCATTAACAAGTACTTGTTCTTCACCTTCTTCTGTTTCTCAATGTGTAAATAAAACTCTTACTCTTACTCCTCCTCCTCCTTCTCATCCTGTTGTTCCTCCAACATTTTCTTCGAATTCAAATAATTCTCATTTAATTCGACCAATAAATAATGTTGATAGAAAAGATTCGTATTATCCATATAATGGAACATCTTCTAATCAACAACGATATAGACCAAATAATAATAATCGACGAGGAACATATAATAATACAAAAATCTTAACAAATCGAGAAAATAATTCTTATTATCCTCCATCACAAATTCCATCTCGACCAAGTAAAATTTAATTTAATTTTTTATTTAAATAAAAGAAAAGATTAATTATTTCTTTGTTGATTAGTTGAATATAATGTTCCAGTAACAATAACATATCAACGGTTTCAAACTGGTGTTGATTTTGAAGGAGAATTATCAAAATATTATAATCCAACTTATTTTTTTCTTCGAATATCAAATCAAACAGAATCATATGATGAAATGCATAAAAATATCAAGTAAATTTAATAAGAAAATTTTTATTTTAATTCCTTTGTTTCTGTTTTAGTTTCTATTATAATAATATGGATATGAACAAATGTTATATTCCTCAACCAAGTGAATTTTGTGCAGCAAAATCTCCAAATGATTCCAATTGGTATCGAGCACGAATAATTCGAATTATTGAAAATGACAAAGTTCAATTAATATTTATTGATAATGGAGAAATAAATGAATTAAATCTGAATTTAATTCAACCATTAAATTCACAATTTAGTGATCGTCCAGCTCAAGCACTTGCATGTTCACTTGCTCAAGTTTTACCATTTACACAAAATGATAAATGTGGTTGGAATCGAAGAGCATGTATGAGTTTAGAAAATTCATTAAAATATGAACGAATTTCATCGGAAAAACTTTTATTAAAAGTTACTGTTTCCGATATGAATCAAGTTAAATGGCCAATTATGTTTATACATATATCAACACCAACGATTTCTGTACAAAAACATTTCTTTTTCTTCTTTTATTGATAAAATCATTTTTTTTTTGTTTAGAGTTTAACTGATCATATGTGTGATTTATATTTAAGTCGTCGATGTACAAATTTACAAATAAGTGAATATTGGTCAAAGAAAATTCGTCCAGAACAATATGTTTTGTTTAATTTATCTTCATTAATTAATCAAAAACAATATTTTATTTTAAATAATAATCAATCCTCTTTGTCTTTCAATCAAACTATTGATTTAGTTATGACTGATTTAGAATTTTTTTCTCGTCAATAATTATTAGATAGACATTTCCAACTTTTCTCTTTTGTTATCAAAAAAAAATTGTTTGTGTCTTTTTGTTTACAAGTAAAAATAAACTTCTATTCAACAAAATTCATCATTTCAATCACTAAAAATAGATAAGTCAACGATTAACCTTTCTTAATCAATATTTTTCTTCCATTGATAACATCCCCCGTTACTCTTTGTTTAACTAGTCTATGGTTGTAGAACTGTGAACTTTGAAATTCTAATTTATTTTACATTTCTATCATTATCGAGTACTCACACGACATTCGTAATATAATGAAAAACTGTTGATAAAATTTGTATGAGAACAAAGTGTGAAATATCGAAGAATACCATTGTTATTTGATTCAATTGCGAACATAAAGCTACTGCTTAGAATAAAAAACAAGTCAACTAAAGGAGAGATAAATAATTCAAACGAAATAAATTATACTTTAAATCTGTCAGTTTTGATTGTGAGTACTCTCATAACTGTTTGAAATATTGATCAATGTGACTTTGAGAGATTTATTGTAAAAAAAAGTTCATCAATAGATGTCGCCTTAAATGACCTTTAAAAATGTCATTTAAAAAAAGAAAAAGTTAATCTTTTAAACGATTTTAAAGTTAAAAATAAACTTTGATATTGTTTTGGCAAAATAAATTGAGAATGAAATCTTATTGGATCATTCTAAGCTAATTATAGATGTAAGGTAAAAGATTGTTTATTTTGTTTGTTATTATTGATAAATTATGAGGAAAATATTTATTTTCCATTCGTTCTCCAATAAAAATGTAATGTTTTCTAGAATTGATAAAATAAAATTGAATAATAATCTCTATTTTATTTAGTGAAAGAAAATATGTTTATTTATTGTTTCTATGCTTCTAAGCAATGATGACACATTTGTTAACACCTTGGTCATGTGTGCGTCTATTTGATGAATGAGAAAAAGGTGAAAAAATCAGGTAAGTGTTCTCTTTTTTTTTAAAGAAAGAAACGAAGGTGGTAGTTTTGTCATATTTCGTTTAAATAAATTTTTCTTTTTTTGTAAATTAAGATTCTTTCGTAATGATGAGCCCCAAGACAAATAATCTTGATCAAATTGAAATGAACAAATCACATGAAATATTAAATGGAAAAGGAACAACTGGTGGTTTATTATCAACATTTAATCGTAAACGACGTCATACATTTGATGTCGATTTAAAAGTTGAACGTGTTCTTTCTCTTCCATATGCAAATGGAAAATTTTTCTTTAAAATTCGTCTTTTAAATGGTGGAAATCATATTTATACATGTCATGAGTAAGAATTTAAATTTAATTCTATCTTTTCTATTATTCTTTTCTTTTCAATAGACGATTTGAAGTTCATGAAAATAAAGTTGAATTTAATATCAATGATCATTTTACAGTCAGAATGACATCCCGTGTTGATAATTTTACACTTGATCATTGTCTCTGTCGAATTTCAATACGAAAAGTTTGTTTAAAGAAAATTCTTATTTTTTTTCTATTTTCTTTTATTTTCTTTAAAAAGGAAGGACGTGGTGGTCGTTCCTATGAAAAAATTGGTTTTTATGATTTGGATTTAGCATCAGTTGCTGGAAGTGGTGATGAATCAAAAGCATGTCTACTTAATGGTTATCAACAAACAAATAGTAGTCCAGCTAATGCTTATCTTGAGATAAGTATGAAAATAACAATTCTTGAAGGTGATCATATTTTTCGAAGGTATTTATTTGAATTCTTTATTTGAAAATTCATTGAAAATATTTTTCTTAGACCAGATAATGATCATCCATATATAAAAGTTGAACAAGCTTTACCAAATAAAAAAACTCATGATCAATGTACAGGTTTATTTATTTTGCTTTTATTTATTTTTCATTTTTGTTAAATATGAAAAATAATTTTAGATGAATGTTCATCAACAATGAGTACATCAGCTGGTGAACTTTATCCACCATCAACAACAAATTCAAATCGTGGTCATTCTCGTCAAGCGAGTAAAAGTAGTGTTTGTTCAAATTATTCAACAAATAGTGTCAATAGTACAAATAATTCAATTTCACATGAGAAAAATCATTTGAGGTTTGTTTATTTTATCAAATTGAAATCAAAATAAACAACAAAATTAGTTAATAATTTGTTCTTAGACATTTATTAAAGGAGTCACATCATTTTCACAATTCCCATTCTGATCCCAATATGCTTGCTAATGTCAGGTAGACATTTTAAACATATTATCCCTGCTTTTTCTTCTACCTTCGTGCTTTTACAATGAAGAAACAAATTTATTTATTAAATAATAAAATCTTTTCTTTTTCTAGGCAAGGTAGTGACGAAGAGAGTTATCAACAATCACAACGACGTGTTAATCATAAAAGAAGAGTTTGTTTTAAAAGACAATTTTTATTTAAGAAAAATAAAATGAAATTTTTCTTTTTAGACTCCATTTATTGATCAATTTGGAGATATTCAAAGAAGATTACATTCAACAAGAATTGATGCTACAGAAATAGTCAATAGTGTCATGAATAATAATGCTAAAACAGTAGGAAATTCTAATGGTTTGTTGAAATAAATTGTTTTTAAATTAAAATAAATTTTTTTTCTTTTTAATTTAAAGGTTATTTATGTTTATTGTATGATGAAGATGGAACAGCACATGTTGGTTCATCATCATCATGTCAATCTCTTCAGTCAACACCAGCGTCTCTCTTTGTATCTACCTAATATTCGTTTTCCTTCTTGTATTTATTTGTTATTATCTAATAGCATTTTTCTTTTTTCTTTTCTTTTCTTTTCTTTTTTTTTAATTAATGAAAAAATGAGTCTGAGTCTCGGTGTTTATTATTTTTTTTTCTTTTTAGAATAATTAAGAAAACTAAAATCCCGAACAAGAACAGAATGGTTGAAGTTAAATTATGTGTTGGAAAACTTGATGGAACTACTGAATATCGTCGAATAGGTATTCCCATTTTAACACCTTCAACCGATGTTTTATCGATTTTACGTGCAAAACTTTCTCAATTATTTCCTGAATTAACATCAGATTCAAATGGAATTCATGTAGAATTTCAATACGAAGGTAAAACAAAATTAAAATTAAAAATATGAGTAAAAATAAATGTTTTTTATTTAGATGATGTTCGTGGTCTTGTATCCGTAACATCTTCTGATGGAATAAATGAAGCTGCACGTGATCAAGCATCACGTCAACAACTTCTTCGTGTTTTTGTTAAATTTATAGATGAAGGTGGTGCTCCATTAAAATATCTTCCACCAAAACATGTTGGTGTTATATGTGATGGTTTGTTTAATTTATTTAATCTTTTTAAAATAAAAATCTATTTAAATAGGTTGTAATCGTTCACCAATAATTGGTATTCGTTATAAATGTCTTGAATGTTTTGATTATGATTTATGTGAATCATGTGCTGATAGACAATTAATTCATTCTCATCATGTTATGGCTAAAATTCGAACACCACATCAAGTCAATCTTCTTATTTATTTATTTATTTAATAATTTTTATTTTATTTTATTTTATTTAGATTGATGTTGTTAGAAAACTTTGTTCAACTAGTCAACAACCGAATGTCTCTCCAAATAATAAACCAAATACAATAAATATCCCTCAATTAATTGTTAATCAATCAACAGATATTGACAAAGATAAATATTATAATTCAAATGGAACACAAACAATATCTATTGTTGAAGAAAAAGATAATGAAGATGATATTGAAATTATTCCAAATAATATTATTCAAGATGATTTTGTTCAATTAGATTTACATGAAATTAATGAACAAACAAATATGGTTCGTTTATCTTATATTTAGTTATTTATTTATTTTATCGATTAGTTTATTTTAGGTTGTTAATCAATAAATTGAAGTATTTTCTGGCAATTAAAACATTATTAATTATAGTCGCGATAAATATCTTGTAGTTTTGTTAATCCCCCTGTGACACCCTTTTTTCTTTCTTTTTTTTTCAAGATTCTAATCAAAAAATAGTCTGTAATGTTTTTGCTTTCTTTTCTTTTCTTTTTGTGTCATTGATGTACAAATGAATGTTTTGTTTTTTTTGCTTTATACTCACTAAAAATGCACATAGATTTTGTAAATAATATCAATGTTAATTCTTTTATTTTTCAATTTTAATCGAACAGAAAACAATAGAGATAGAAACGTATTTCTTCTTCTTCTTCCTCTAGTGTAATAGTAGAAGCAATTTGCAATTTTTTGCTTTTTAGTCAATGATATTTTCGGTTTATTTGCCTTTATTGTCTTGTCTTATCAAATATATATATTTATTAATTATATATTTGTCATTCTTTTATTTGTAAACAAAATTAATTTTTAAGTAATACAATCATTATCAAATATAAATAAATATCAATTGTCAATACAAAACAATTCATTTATCTTATATATACAACGTATCCAAAAACTCATCATCAGTTTTCTTCTCTTATGAGTCAGGTTTATAAGGAATATTCAAAAATAGTATCTTTCACATCAATTAGATATTTTACAATTTTAAAAAAAAGAAAATATCATAGAAAGTTACTTTCTTTAATTAAATTGATACGACAAGTTATTCTGTTGTTTTGAGATGCCTCTACAAAAAGAAGTCTAATCATGTTAAATCACGTGAATGAGAGGTCTATATTATTGATCCACCTGTTGCTACAGATATCATTCAACTACCTACAGACTGTCTTTGAGAAGTATGTATGTGGTAAGACTGTCTAGGAAAAACTATCATCTATTGTTAACTCTTTAGAGGATACTATTCTCCCCATTCATCTAATCGAACAACATTAGACTTATTTTTGTAGAGACATCTGAAGAAAACTGAGATGATTAAAACAACTAAATAACTTTTCATGATCTTATTATTTGGAAATTGTAAAATATCTAATTGATGTGAAAAATAGTTCTTATAAATTGGACTCGTACGATAAAACTTCTCTATAAAATAAAATCTTTCGTTTTAGATCAATGTCAATCGATCGTTCAAATGATTGTCGTCATTATAGAAATGAAAAAGAATGTATGAGAAATTGTAATCGTACTGCATATGGTCGATGTCCAGCATGTCAACGAAAAGTTTGTTTACAACATTTAAGTGAACATCATAGAATTGAAATTGAACCTCATTTTGATATTCTTATTGATCGTGCAAATCAAATTCGGGCAAAACTTGAAACAATGTCAATTGATGGAACGAAACAACGAGCACAACAATTTGTAGAAGCATGGAAAAGTAAAATTTCTCCTTTTTCTTTTTATTTAATAATTAAATAAAATATTAATTTAGATCGAACAATTGCATCAATTGAACGTGCAGTTGCAGATAAAATGATTGAAATCGATGGAGCTTGTGCTGAATTAACTGTTGAAATGAGTCAATTTAAATTAGATAGTTTAGCTAAATTAAAATCAGATATGTTATTAGCATCTCCGCACGTACACAGAGAGTATGTACATCCAGATGAATTATCTCGTCTTGAACAGCTTTTAACTATTATTAATTCACATATTGATCGATATTCTAAACATGAATTACTTGAATATTCTACAACAACAACAACAACATCGTCAACAACACCTCAACAAGATGATAATCGCTCATCAACACTTTGTTTTTATCATGAACAATTAGAGTATAACTAAATCCAACAAACTTTATATATTTATTTATAAAATAAAACAGTCAGATAAATACATTGTTCTTTGAACAAGATAAATATTTATATAATAAAACAAAATATATATATATTTTAAGATAGTTAAGCAACTAATGAATACAACGTTGAATTGTTTTTTATGAAAAAGTTTATTCAGTTAGATTTTCTATGTAAACAATACTGCTATCTTTCTCGAAAGTTGTATTATATTTATCATATACAAGTAATATAAGAGTTTTTTCACTGATATTTTCTACGATTAATTTTATTGTAATTATCATCCCTTTCATTTCTATGGACAAGTTAATTTTCAAAAAAATGTCCTCGATGGCTTTTTCGGATTCTATTTACTATTTTCTAATTTGTATCGACGCATAATAAAACATTTTTATGAGTAACTGAATAATGATTCAAAGTACTCATTCGTTCTTTTACATGTTAAAGGTAATATATGCGCAAAATAGAAAAGAAACGAAGCTTCTCGTTGTTTCTACTGTATTCTTGTCACGCCGTCCTTTAACGTACAAATATAAGAGAAATTTTACAATAGTTAACATGTCATTTGAAAATAAATGATGTAGAAGACAGCGCTAATTCACTTAGAGAAGTGAACTCTTTGGATGAAAGTTCTGACAAAGAATTCCCTAATCATAAGATGAATTTACATAGCTAAAATCATCACTGATGAAGGCTCATATAAGAATGACATTCATCACTCTAACTTGAATACATTCTCACAATTTTCTACGAGGATTCGTTATGTGATAAATTTATTTTTGTTTATTTCTCATGATAGAATTTATTAAATAAATCAAGTTAATTTTGCTATGAAAAAAATCGAATGAGAAGATTTTTTGAATATTGTCTATTTATTTGTTCGTTCATTTCGACTGATGTTCATCATCATTTGGTTGTAATTGAAGTTTAAGTTCATGTTCATGTCCTTTCTTTGCACATGCTGAACAAAGATCATAATTTTGACAAGTAAGGCATGAATATTTTTCACCAACAATTGGTTTAATTCCACATCCATCACAAGCAAAATGTGTCCATTTATATTGATCTGGTGGAGGAGGTTTTAATTTTTCAGCTCGTGACCATGTCTGTAAAGCTTTAATACCATGTTGTTCAACATCTTCACAACCTTTACGTGATAAAATTTGTCCATCTGATGATACGACAATTAAGCTTGGAAGACCTTTCAAATAAAAAATATGAATATTTTTGAGAAAAAAAAATTGTAATAAACTTAGTTGAAACCTTGAAGTTTAAAATATTCAGCAAAAATATCAGTTAAATTAAATGGAACTGCAGGCCATGGCATTTGTGATCGATAAGTATTAAATGAATCTTCATCCTGATCAAATGATAAAAATACAACGTCAAAAGATTGATATTTTTCTCGTGTTTCTTTATAAAATTCGGCTAACATTGGTGTAAATTCTTGACAAGGTGGACACCAATGAGCTGAAAAATAAAATCCCATACTTTTAACTATCGGAGTAACAGCCTTTTTCTTTCGCGGTATACGTAAACCACAGAACGGGATACAACGACTGCGGTTGGTACTGTTAGGTTTAATATCATTTTCAAAGATTGCTTTCATTAAAATATTTCCTGCATTGTTTGAAGGAAGTAAATCAGGTATTGATGAAATTATTTGTTCTAATGTATATTTTTGATTTGGAATAAGATATTCAACAAGTGGATGTTCATGTTTA